TTATATAAGTAAGGTTTTAGAATATGAACATGGTATCTGTTATCCTCAAACTTTCTGATGATTTTCATAGATGCATCAAACACTGAAACACATATATTCATCTTTATATAATTACCATCATTGGAATATTTTGTAGGAATATCTTTACAAATTACTCAAATATCACCTTTTTGGAAAAATGGCAGGAGGTATAAAGAAATACAAAGACATTCAGATTGGTTTTGCTAGAAGTACCATAGTGTCACAGATAGTAAACTTTGAATGTGGAGGCTTACTTCACATACTCTATGTGGAGAGAAATATAAGGTTGGAAAAATTGACCATCTTCATAGCAAATGTAATATTTTGGAGCTGGTAGCAGAGATGAGATGGTTGATATTTACTAAACGGTAAGAACAATTTTCTATTTTTAATCTATAAAATGCATTTGATCACAATTTTATATAAAGTCTTCTTCAAATAAACAGCTGTGGGGATGGACAAAACAATGAATTCAATTAGCTGAGGTACTGTATCTCCTGACACAGTCAGTGCTGGTCACTAGTACAGTGAAGACATTAGAAAAATTTCCAGAAACAAATTATCCTATTCCTTTTGCTTGGATGAGAATTATGCTTATGAATAAATGAGCTTTGGGCAGTGTGTGTGTGTGTGTGTGTGTGTGTGTGTGTGTGAGAGAGAGAGAGAGAGAGAGAGAGAGAGAGGGAGGAAGAGAGAGAGAGAAAGAGAGAGAGAGAGATATCCACAGCTGTGATTTCTTAATATCCAAACCAAAAGTTTGATCAACATTGGGATTTTGTACGTGTATTGAAGTTTCAGGTTCCTTTTGCTGCCTTTGGACAGCATACAATAAGAAAGTAATAGTAAACTGCAGAGATCTCAGTGCTTTGCATGGAACACACTGTCCCTCATATGTCTCAGAAGTCCTGTCCACAGACTGCATTCCTAGTCACCACAGGCTAGAATTTTCCACAGCAGATGCTGGAGGAAAAGCTCTTTTCTCATTTGCTAGCATGCAAATGTAGATATATTCTTTTCATAGTTTCACCATTTTCAACCTTCTATAACATCTGCTTCATTTGAGTTTATCGAGTATAGATATCAGCTAATATGTAAAATTGAAAGAATGAAACAGGAAGAAAATGTCTAAATTAATAGATGAAACCTAATCTGCAGTTGATTTGAATAGTTTATTATTACCAAGGTGTTACATTTTAGAAACCATCACATTCCTGCAGAGGATTTATAAAAAAAAGATTTGTGGAATTTTCCTAATAATTATCTTTCTTCTTTTTCCTCTAAATTCTCAGAAAATTAGATCTTCTGTAATATAAATAATAAACATAAATAAACACACCCCTGCCTCCCACAATTTTCCACACTTTCCATCTGGCTTCCTAAGCATTCTAAGGAAATAAAGATGTGAAAATTTATTTTCTATTTTCCATGGTGATCCTCAAAAAAAGAGACACAACCCACTTCAACCTTTCATTTGTACTCAATCTCCTTACCTCATAATTCTCACTCAGTGCATCTTTCATGCTAACAGTATTGGAAAACTCTTTGCCAGTGAGTAATGAAAGTTTAACTGCTTCAGTACTGATGAAACATTTTATAGATGCTCCTGAAATCTCTTCATTTTTAATTAAAATTGAATGCAAAAATCTCACACAAGTTACTTTGGAAACTGATTCCCTCATTATAAGAAGAAATCATCTAAATAAATTATGCTGTTTTCAAATTTAGTTTTCTTTTGTGTGTATACGTTATGCACCTGAGTGTATGTATGTGTACTGCATACATATGGGAGACCTGGAAGGTCAAGAGGGTTTTTGGATCCCCAGGAACTGCTTACTGAGGGTTGTGAGGCACAGCATGGGCACTGGGAACTCAAACCAGAAGGCAGGTTCTCTGCAGAAAAAGTAAGTGACCTGAAATCCAAAACAATTTCTCCAGCCCTAACTTATGATGCAGAAGACATATTTTTCATACCCCTGCTAGATTTTACTAGTAAGAAATGATTTTTGTCATTACAGAGTTTTAAATGTTTCAGTCTTGACTCAAGAATAACTTAAATTGTATTTGAAAATGTTGTTTGACTTCTTCTATTTGATTAACATAGTGCTTATTTCACTCTATCTGTGAAGGAGAGCTGCACAAGGTAACAGAAACCATCCCAAGAGAAAAGAATGTATGTTGCAGAAAATAAAGGATCATAGCTACAGAAGCCTACAGGAATTGAAGTTCCAAGCACTGGACATGAAACTATAGGATTTTGTACTTTTACATTGGGTTTAACTCTTCCTTTGTTCCAGTTTTTCCCACTATTCCAATCCCCCATTCCTCTATTTTAGAATTAACAGGTTTATTGTGTGCCACAGTATGTTGTATGTTTGCAATTTCCTTTTGATTTTATGGTGGCCACAATTAAGAAATTTCCTAGAGTCTCAGAAAGTAATTTAGATTTTTAAACAGCAGTGAATGTTAAAGATGATAAGGTTTAAGTGTATTTTGCATTGTGATATGGCCATGAGCCTATAGAGATCAGTGAGAGGAGCGTGGTGATTTGGTTTAACAAAACGTCCTCCATAGCCCAGGTATTTGAACAATTAAAGTAGCATTTTTAAAGGATAGAGTACAAACTCTCTGAAGGAGTATATCACTGGGGACAGGCTCTGAGAGTTTTTGGCCTCATCTCACTTCTAGTTCATACAATCTGCTGTGTGATTGTAGCTGAAGATGTGATCTCTCATTTCCCTGCTCCCTCTGCCAGCTGCCATGTCTCCTCCACCATTACCTCTTTTTCCATAATATGATCATTGTCTTATGACGGCAGCATTAAAGTAACAAATATAAACCCTTATATGAAAATACCATTATCACAGGTAAAAATCCCCCTAAATATCATTTTAAACATATATACACAATACAGATCTAGTGTTATATTAGTAACTTCAAAAAGATTTTTATCTGATAGTCATAATGCTATCAGAAGAGGCACTGAATGGCTACTAAGAGAATTAAAGATAGATCAAGATCATTTGGCTCTGACTTTACAACACTCCTACTTTCCACTATCGTGAAGTCATCATTCAAACTCTCCTCTGTCAGTCAGTAAGTTGGTCTTGAAAAAAATTTAATGAGATGTCTCTAGCTCTAGGAACTACAGACCACAAATTGACATGCACAGAATTCAGTTTACAAGACTCCCATATTCCTCCTGATATATAGTTTAAGTCATACTTTTATCAGGCATACAGTGAAAGTTCTTAAAATTTCCCCTTCCCTGTAGAAGTTAAGTATTCTCTGTTGAATAACATTGATGGGTGCATCATAAACATACTGACATTTACAGGGAGTGTATGACTTCATAATCTTATCTGGACACTTTTGCATTTAGTAGACAAATTAATTATCAAATATCATAGAGAAAAAGGAGAATAATTGCTTCAAGTGCCAAAATTATACATTCTGTACAATGGTTTCTGCCACCAAATGTTACTGGGAATGAAAGTCTTCTTGTGCTGTAGGAATTTGTGTGGGTGTTCTATTTATTGAAGGTTGTTGCTTTCACCTATATTGGATCCTATTGACCTGCTGTATCCTGGAACAATCACAGGAAAAGTAGCATTACGCATGTGTGAGAACTCAGATGGAATGAAGGCAAAGACACTTATGGTAACTATTGGGAATGTACATTAACCCAGAAACACTTGTCTACTGTACATAAGGCTATAGTTTTAATCTCCAATGGGAAAAATAAGAGGTTCTTATCTTAGAAACTGCTTGGAAGAAATGTTCACTTTCTTTATTTCAGAGCTTCTGTTTCTCATTAAAATATATTCTAATGGTGCAATAAATATATGTCAACCATATACACTTTTTTTCAATGAATGAGTAAATATTTTATGGGAACATGGAAAAGTGTATTATAAACTTGACACAGAAATTTTGAAATATTTATTCATGAAAATACCTCCGAACAAAGAATTATTCATCTCTAATAAGATTCAGAATCGAGTCATACTAATGATTTGACTGCATAAAACACTTGGACTCTGATCAAGTTTTACCATTATGAACATTGTAAAACTATTTGAAATCATTTCACAAACTAATTTAATTTTATAGGCTTTTCAATTCTGCAATACAATAAAAAGTAAGAACAGGTAAACATAAGAAGATCTGCTATTGTATGTGGGTCATTAATAAAATATTACAAATTATGAAAATATGGATACATGATTGTCCAAAATGTAAAACCCAACAATTTCAAATTAATGTTTTTAAGAGTTGTACAAACTTTTGTATCTTATAATTGTGCATTAAAATAAAATAGATTATTATGTTACCTAAAATAATACAGAAAAATACATTATACCTAGGAATGTAAATTACATAGTCCTAAAAATTAGTAAATTATTTTAGAATGATTAATAATGAAACTAATAACAGAGATATAGTTAACTATTAACACAGTAGTCTCATAATTCTAAAGGATTGGCAAAAATAATTCCAATTGAGCTCTGTGTTTAATAAAATATCTGCATTCCCTGTGATTTGTAAGTATATGACAGTATACATTTCATGTCTAAACTTTTATCTACATATCCTGTATTTATATGGCTTCACTCATATACTTTTATTACAGTTGGCATGGATACAAAAACACATATAGTATAGGTCAATAACTCAAAATCTCATGGTTAATAATTGCTACAAAGTCTATTTAATTTTGATATATTTATGTTTTAGTAGGTTACAACCACATCCTTATTTAATATATATGTATTAAGAAATTACTTTGTACGTGATTTGCTAAATCAGTAATAGTTTTAGCTAGTGCTTATTGCAAACAAAACAAATTTTTGCAGTCAAATCAAAGATTGTATACAATGTAAAATACAAACGAAGTTTTCATTTGTTACTATTTGTCTAGAATATGCCATATGATGCCTCGCGTTTCAGAGATCAGGCTTCCATATAATTGAGCCTCTATTTCAGCCACCACAGCACAGAGAAAGACAGGCCTGTCTCAGTTTCACGTCTCCCAGAATCAGGACACATGAATGGAATGAAGGAAAAGCTACATATATAACCTGACAAAATGAAATAAAAAGACTTTGATTTATTAACTCATATTTCCAAAGCTGTAGTAACAGAGACAAGATAAAAATGGTGTATAACAAAAGAAAGGCCGTCACGATTTGCAGGGCTTTGATGTGGGCTGTAGTACTGGCATCTCTGTACCTTTGCACACGCTGCTGCATCTTCTTGTAGTGTTCCCACAGAGAGAAGATGAGCAGGAGGAAAGATAGCATGCACACGCCAAAGGGGACAAACAGGAAAATAGTGTGGAACCTTAACACACGCCTGTAACACTGTGTATAGTAATGAGAACGGAAACTGTAGGAGATGTTTCTTTGAAATTCACTTATACACACATTAGTTTCCAAGTTGACCAGTAAAATATTGAAAAACAAGGGGATCAGGGATAGCAGCAGTGTCACTGAAACTGTCTTTTTAACTCTCCACTTTAAATAAAGAAAAAGAGAGTTAGAAAAATTGGTTATTTTGAGAAAATAAAAGACACCAAGGCATGTCGAAAGCCAGATGCTGGAATGGTTGACTATAATCCACAGATTGCTAAAGACTTTTATCATCCCTGCAGCCGTTGTTAAATCTGGATACAATGAGGATATTAATAAACATGTGAGCAATAACCAGAGCAGACACATTCTGGAGGCGGCCAAAGCAGTGAGGATTTGATTTAGGAATGAGATTTTTTTCCTCTTGACCCAGTTCATGCAGTTCACCAGTGCCAAGAATCCATTTCCTAAATTTCCAATGATTACTTCCATGATTAAGATGATCATAAATGTGTTCTGAAAAATATCATATATTGATTGCAGAAAATGCTCCATTTTTATATAAGTTCTGAAGATTTGTTCACATACTCGTTTGACATGCTATTTTTAAATGTATTTTTGAGGGTTTCTGGTTTTATGCTCATAACATACTTACTCCTAACTCTCCCCCACATGCTAACAGAGGAACAAAGCATGGAGGTTTACCAATGATGGAGACTGAAGCTCTTCCCATGGAAACGTGTCTCCTCACACAGATCAGGCAGGTCAGACCAGAACTCGTCTGCACACAAACAGCTCCCATCATATTTTTCTAGTCAATGATAAAGAAAAGGTTGGAAATGCACATGTTCCTGTGCAAAACATTGTTTTCATTACCTAGATACCAGCGTCAATCTATGTATTTTGATGTGACTATTTGAGTTCTGTGCAAAATGCTTTAAAAAGTAACCAAGTATACAAAAGATGTCAAAAATGTAAACAGATTATGGAACTTTCTGAGATATAAGGCTTTATAGGTACTTCAAAATTGCCAGTCTGTGCAGAGACCTGGCCATATCATGTCTACAGATCTCATATTCTGACCTGTGAAATAATGACTTAAGGATCTTTATTCTTCAAATATATTTTGTTAAGTTAAAAATATTTGTTAAGTTAAAAATATTTCCTTATTATTTCACATGCATAGATACATCTGTGCAAATGCTCATCACAAATACATATTTACTGAGATTTAAATACTTTTAAAATTTTAATTGTGTTCATATTTGTCAATATATAATGTGCATCTAGATCATGCTTAGTTAGTATTGTACAAGTTGTTCAGGCCATGCTTATGATACGTTTTCCATTTTACCTGTTGTGTTAGGTCTATTTTACATGTATATAAGGCAGGAAATTCTTCTTATGCTGTGAACAGTCAATGAGGTGGATTAGCCCATCCACACAGCAAGACACCTCCTCATTCCCAGCCTCTCTTATTCTTATTCTTCAATTTGCAACAAAGACTATCAGATTGTGTCCACCTCCCTTCAGTTGCCTCCAGTATCTTCTTTGTAAACATCACTGATTGTCACCAAAGCAGATGAAGGATGTCAAACATGCTGGAATAGACAAAGAATGAGCATTTTGATAAGGTAGTTAAAGAGGAATAGTGGACACAATTAAATAAACCAGGAATGGTTGTCAAATATGTTGTAGATGGCAGAGAGAGAGTCACGCAGTAATTTAACATCTAATACTGATAGAATTTTAAATCAGTGAATCAAAGAAAGTGAACCTGACTCATTTGAAAACTCATACTTATGCATTCTTTGGAGGTAAGACAGATGGAGAAGGCATAACAGGCCACTTTGTGATATATTAGTGAAAGCATCTAAGAATGGAAAAATGCACATACCTTCAGTGTAGTGGCAGGAAGATCCCTATGGTTTGACTCCTCTCAGGTAGCAAAGTGAACTCAACTAAGAAGAGAAACACAGAGAAATAGGACAAGGGTTGGAGCTGTGTAGAATGGGTGCTGACAGTAAGACTTCATAGGCTTTCTAATCAGGACTTGCATCTGTAGCAAAGATTACACTCACTTGTAAGGAGCTCTTTTGAGCCTCGCAAGAGAGCTTTCTTTCTGGATTCGAATCAAATAGTAGATAAAAAATTAAATATCAAACCAATAGTTTTTACTATAAGAACTTTATGTAGTTAATTTGATTATGGCCTTGGGAATCTGTACAAGACTCTCTAATATCTATCAATGTCAATAGCATGATTAGGAAGAGAAGAATATAGGTCAACTGAACATCCTCTTTGAACTGTACCCAACAGGCTAGAGGAAAACTCCTGCACATGCTCCTTGCTGCAGATCTTAAGGATATGTTGGCTTGAAGAAATGAGGACAAAAGTTGGACAGCTGACTAAAGAGAAAGCCATCTCAATAGTTCTCATAGTGTCAGGACAGTAGGAAAAGCATCTCTATTTAGTTTTCAAAAACCAGAGATTAGTATCTGCTTCCTGAAATTGCCTGACTTAGTCTATTTATTCAGCTCTCTGAAGTTTATCCTTACCCTCTAGTTAAAATTAAGAATAGAAGACCTGCTGGGCAGTGGTGGCACAGGTCTGTAATCCCAGCACTCAGAGGCAGAGGCAGGCAGATCTCTGTGAGTTCAAGGCCTTCCTGGTCTGCAAAGTGAGTTCCAGGACAGCCAGAGCTGTTACACATAGAGACACTGTCTCAAAAAAAAAAAGGAAAAAGATAGAAAAACCCTTCCATATAACAAAGTAATGATACCTCTTATGTTAGGCATCTACTTTGCAAAGCAAATCAATTCAAATGATAGTGGCTTTCATCTAACAACCAGAAACACTTGTCATCTTTTGCTCTTTCTGTGTGTTAGATTTTCCTCCTCCAAGAGCCGAAACAGTTGGAAATACAAAGGATCATTGAACCAACTCTATTTATCTATATATGCTGTATTTCTATCCAAGATTGTGACTCAGAGCTCCAGAAACAGATGCGACAAGAAGAGAAGTTCTCCAATGTAGCCTTAGATTCTACCCTATTTAAGATCCTTTATGTCAAGAGACAACATTACAACACATTTGCAGATTTCAATTGGCTCTTATTTGCAAATATAGTTCTGCAAAATGAAACATGCATTCTTATGTTCTTCCGGTGGGCATTAGCTTTATAGACAGAAAATACAGTAAAAAAAAAACAAAAAAAACAAAACAAGGGTTCATAAATAAAAATGAAAAACCAAAGATTCATCATCTATCATTTGATCAATCATTGATCAAAAAACAAAAAATGGTCATTTCAAATATTTTTTTTCAAAAGCAAAATTTGAGGGACTTTTTCTTTTAAATATAGTATTTACTAAACTGGTCAGTTGGAGGGATTTCTTGTCTTTCTCTTTCTCCTCCTCTTCATCCTCCTCTTTTTCCTCCTCATCGTCCTCCTGTTCTCCTCCCTGCTTACTCTTCCATCTGTCCTGTCCATTTTAACAACTCTGTTTCCTATCATGATGTGGAATTACAGCATGAGTACCTCATTTTTCCTAGTCTGTTGAGCTTAGTGTAAGAGAGCAGTCCAAACCTGGTTAAAGTAGCAGCCTCTGTTTTTTTTCCTACCTCCTTTAGGTTGAAACAGACCCTCTTGGAGGGATGGGAGAAGCTCATAATACCAGGAAATAAACACAAGGTTTACAATGCTCTTGGAATTCACAAGGTTCAAGTCCTGTCTCCAAGGTTATGTAAGTAGTGGCAATCGCCCAGGAACTCTTACTGATGAGCTACCAGCAAGTCTAGCATCTTTCCTAAGTCCTGACTGGTGCTGGGATAGGCTGCTCATGGGTGGAGCTATTCTTAGACACCCATGGGCCTGTAAGTAAGCCTTGACCCATCCTCCCACAAGCAACCCAAAGAAACTCACTGGTTTACTAAGCTGGATGTGAGTGAAATCATTTCTTTGGTCTGTCATTAGTCTTTTATCAGGGCTGGACATCTCCCCTGGATTCCATTCTTCTATAAATTATTGATAGTTACTGTTGACATACTAATTGTGAAAATAGATCATCATGGTAGGTGGATTATACTCTCCCTACTTATGTGTGATATATCCAACTATCAAATTCAGAAATGGAGAATTTCAATCACCTTCATAATTATATCATCATGTAAATCCATTAATTTTTGACAATTACAATGATTCCCTTAATTACATCGTCAATTTCCTCCATTTCTATCCAAGACTATCTAAATGAAAAAGTAAAAGAGGTAAAAAGGAAAACACAAAATGTAGTAAAAATACATAATTTATAGTAATTTCTAAATGACTCTATCAGGACCATCTCTGTTAAAGGTATTATCTCTAAATTCTGGGTCAAATCTGAAAACCCTAGCTCTCTACAATTCGTGGAGAATGTAAGTCGAGAACTGTTAAAGTTTTCTAGAAAGCTAAGCAGATAATGTAACAAAGAATAGAGACTCTGACGCCAAACTCTGTTCTCAATTCCTTCGAGCCAGTAAGTTTGTGGGTGTTAGCAAATAGTCACATCACAGCATATAAAAATAAGAACTATATATGGTCTTACAGCTCAATGAACTAATAATGGCAACTATATTTTAACATTCCATTTTATCTTGTTACTTTTAAACATGTTTCATTCACTGTTTAGTATTAATCTGAGGCCTTAAATAATGTAGAAATTAATTTAAGATAATATCCTATAGAAATAATCACTGTTCTATATTAATTCTTATTTTTTTTTGAGTCAAGGTGTGTCTATATAGCTTTGGTTGGCATGGGAGTCATTGTCCAGCTATGCTGGCCTTGAACTTGAAGTTATCCCTTTCAAGTGCTGGCATATAGCTGACAGCTATTGTTTCAAGACTCTTATTTGGTTTACTTGAGGAAGCACATTTACATTTGTATGTTTTATATGGGAATAATATTACTCTATTTGTAGTAAACCAGCTTAAGGATACTAAACCTTGTCAAACATGTCAGACAGAAGAGCATAAACCCTATCCCCAAAGCAAACACACCAAACATGCTTAATCTCTTGTCAATAATTATTATTATATGAATTTGTTATTTTTCTCTTATAGACAAATGTTCTCAAAAAGCAGTTTTTTAAGATTTTGTTTGTTTTCAATGTGGGAGGGGATTGCACTGTTGTTGGTAATGAAGATGATATTATTTTTACTTGCATTTTACTCATAAGCAGTTGTTAAAAAAAACAAAACATATTGCCTGGTGGTGGTGGCGCACACCTTTAATCCCAGCACTTGGGAGGCAGAAGCAGGCGGGTCTTTTTGAGTTCGAGGCCAGCCTGGTCTCCAGATCGAGTGCCAGGATAGGCTCCAAAGCTACACAAAGAAACCCTGTCTTGAAAAATCAAAAACAAACAAACAAACAAACAAACAAACAAAAAACTACACAGAGAAACCCTGTCTCAAAAAACCAAAACAAACAAACAAACAAACAAAGGCCCACATTATAGCCACTTGAAGTCAAGTGCCTGGTTTGGTTTTTCCCTCTTTGAAGTATGCCTTCAAAGCCTTCTCTAAAACCAATTATATTATAAAAATTGAAAAAAATAGAATGTACAAATTAGACTATTTTAATACCCACTAATTTTAAAAATAAAGTTATCAAAATCAATTACATTAGAAACTGATTATTTATAACTCCACAATGACAAACACATGTTTTTTTGAGAAATCTTTGGAAAACTGTTGTGGTCAGAGAGTTAGTTCAGCGGTTAAGAGCATTTGTTCTTGGAAAGGACCTCGGTTTGATTCTCAGCACCCACATCGAGGCTTCCATCCCTCAGGCACCAGGCACGCATGGGGCACACCAACATGCATGCAAGCAAAACACTCATGCACACAAAATAATAAAATAAAATTTAAAAGGAAAGTAATAAAGAATTATTTTAAAATACTATCGATTATTTGAAACAAATGATATATAAATAGTAACTATACCTAAGAGAATAATTATATAAATATCTATTTATGGTACATATATTTGAAAATATTTGTGTTATATTTTTAGTGGACCAAATGCCTTGAAGTACAAATGACTTCTTCAAACTTACAAGATATCTTTGAAAATAGTCTTCAATTGAGGAGACTACAGTACAATGATTCTTTTATCCATGAGAGATGACGGACCATGAATGAGCACATGCAAGCACTGTGCAAACAACTTTTGTCAGCTTTTAAGGGAAAATTATGCATAGGTGATAGGTGTTTTCATCAGTTATCAGACTGTATGAAGTGTAAGCCATCCTGCTGCCCCATGCAAAGGCCTTGACAATTTGGTTAGGAAATTTTCATATATTTTTAATATTTAAATCTCTCATTTAACAGTAAATCCATATTGGTAATAATTATATATCTAACCAAGATAGAGAAAACTATTTACAAACTCATTGAATATCCTTTGTACTGAGTTTTAAAATTTTAATAACAAATCAGTAACATAGATGAATACAAATTATGGTAGGTTTAAGCAGGAGGAAATATTTTAAGCCAAATCCATGTATTTGTTTATTTGAATGCTTGCCAATAAGAATATAGCTTCCCTTTAAGCTCAGCTCTGAAATACACCAGTTCTTAGATAGGTGTTTGAATAAAATCCATTTGAACTGTTTTGCAAGTATTCTTGTTTCTATAAAAACAGCACCAAACTCATTCACCAGCACATGGGGTTGCCTTCACACTTGACATTGGCCATGGTATTTAAAAACAGCACAATCTTCACTGGCCACAAACAAAGAGCACAGGAATCAGCGTGTTCACAAACTCACAACCAGTGACACGAGAGCTACACACATTTTTTCATCTTTTAAAAACTATTTGTTCAGATGTGATGAGTTTTTTTCTCATTATTGCAGCCATCACAATGATGGCAGAAGTTACTCTTGGAAGCTTTGCCAACGTCTTCATTGTTCTGGTGAACTTTACTGACTGTATCAAGAGAAGAAAAATCTCCTTAGCTGATAGAATTCTCACTGCTCTGGCCATCTTCAGGATTTGTTTGCTTTGGGTAATATTAATAAATTGGTGCTCAACTGTGTTTTCTCCAGCTTCATTAACTAAACAAGTGAGATTTATTATTTGTGTTGCCTGGGCTGTAACCAACCATTTTCATACCTGGCTGGCAGCTTTACTCAGCATACTGTATCTGCTGAAGATAGGCAATTTCCCGAACCGTATTTTTCTTGGCCTAAAGGGAAAGATTAAGAGTGTCATTGTAGTTGTACTTTTAGGGAGCTTGGTGTTATTGTTTCTTAATCTTACGATGATGACCATGGGCAAGAAAGTCCAAGTGAATGGTCACAGAGGCAATATGACTGAGAAGACCAAAGTGGCTTATGCTGTGAACCTTATAGTTGTGACAGCATTCACTCTAAACAATGTCATTCCCTTCACCATATCTATGATCTGTTTTCTGCTGTTAATCTATTCTCTGTATAAACACCTTAAGACAATGAAGCTGTATGGAAAGGGATCCCACGATCCAGGCACTATGGCCCACATTAAGGCTTTGCAAGCTGTGGTCTCCTTTCTGTTGTTATTTGCCATGTTCATTCTGTCTCTGATCGTATCAGGCTACAGTTATGTGAAGCCTCTGGATGAGCCAGTCCACCTGATTTGCCAGATTATTGGAACTCTGTATCCTTCAAGCCATTCCTACATCCTGATATGGGGAAACAAGAAGATCAAACAGGCCTTTGTGTTGGCAATGGTGCAGGTGAGAACAAGACTCTGGCTGAAAGAACGGAAACCTTAAAGTCCTCCCACCAATATTAGAGATGCAGTGGGACTAGAAGCAGAGTCCGTAGCATTTTGTGCTTCCTGTTGCTCTTGAAAATATGGACAGTGTGAATTGTTTCTAAAGAAATTTCAAGAAAATATATGTATGTCTACTAAACTAGAGATGATTTGTGTTTCTATAAAATATGCAAGAAAACCTGTCTATAGCGGTCCTTTAATATTATTTTCATAAAATCTACTCTATGTCATTATTCAAAATATGATTCATATTTTTCAGAATTATGAAGCCAGGTATATCTTCTTTATCCTCTACATAGTAAGTTTAAAACCTATTTTAAATATTATTTAAAACTGTTAGCTCCTTTTAAGAAACCATTGTTTTCTCATTATTCTTTGTACCACATGTATGTATCAAATCTTTTTAGATTCCTGATATGTTATCTAATGCTGGTCAACCCTAAATATGGGTATATACAAGCAAAACTAAATGGACTCAGTGGGTTTTATGTGTGTGTGTGTGTGTGTGTGTGTGTGTGTGTGTGTGTGTTTGTGAAAATAATTATAATGGAAAAAAGTCTTGAATTTAAGAGGGATTGGTGGGAGAATTTAGGGAGCAGAGGAAGGGTTACAATGATATAAATTCAGTACCCATTCATCAAATTCTCAAAAATAATAAAAAATGCATTTATATCCTGGAATAAAAATTGTGAACTTCGCTGGGCGTTGGTGGCGCACGCCTTTAATCCCAGCACTCGGGAGGCAGAGGCAGGTGGATCTCTGTGAGTTCGAGGCCAGCCTGGTCTCCAGAGCGAGTGCCAGGATAGGCTTCAAAGCTACACAGAGAAACACTGTCTCGAAAAACAAAATAAAAAAAATCAAAAAAAATTGTGAACTTAAGCGCATTTGTAGTAGGAGAAAATACAGCATTATTTTATCAATGAAAATAAGAAATGTTAAATATTTTAAATATTTTCATTCATCTATTATACAATTTTATGACAGTTTTTCATTGATACTGTCTTAATACTCTAAAAAAATTATAGAAGCCATGATTAGAATTCATCGGGTATTTTATACTCTTTTCTCTGCTTGTCTTTTCCCCATGCTTGCCCCCAAGGACTTTTTCTATTAAGTAGACCATACAGGATATGAATGTAGACTCTGGGGCTGGGCGGGTGGATATCTAAGCAGGTAGAGGATGAGTAGATGAAGAGGAACAGTAAGAGGTATGTATAACCAAAACTAAACTTATATAGATTTCAATGAGTCACCACCTCTTTGAATGTCAATTCTAAATCACATATTGAAGACTTGTTTGAAGTAGATTTTAGTTTTTCAAGAATTGCTGGGCAGTGGTGAGGCACACCTTTAATCCAGGAGGCAGAGGTAAAGGGATCTCTGTGAGTTCAAGGCCAGCCTGCTTTACAGAGCAAGTCAGGGCAACATAGAGAAATGGTCTCAAACAAACAAACAAACAAAAACTAAAACAAAAAAAAAACTAAAAAAAGAAAGGAAGGAAGAAATTAAGCAGGAAATTTGAGGCCTGGGCATGTGAGACAAAGCAACAGCCCCATGCCATGCCTTGCAGCTGGAGCAGGCAGTACATAACGAGGAACCTGCTTGGGGCCATGTCTTCTAATCTGAGTGGCCTGAGCTTCGGTCTGGAACCATGGTGACATTCAAGCCTGGGCTATTGCCTAGGACCAGGTGTCTGGGGTCTAGGCTGCAACCTGTGGCTATGTGCATATCCAAAGGCCATGATGCCACCAGGGCCATGCCAATCTGAGTAGTCTTCACCATTACCCAGGGCCATGGTGTCATCAGGGCCAGGGTCTGTGGTCCTGCAGCAGCCTGGGTCTGAGTTGATGTCCATAGCTCCTGCTACCACAAAGGGCCATGCATGCAGATGACTGGAGTTGGGTCAGCCACCTGAGACCAAGTTAATACCTGAGAGCCACGCTGCTGCTAGTGCCATACTGATCTGAGTGGCCTTTGCTGCCACATGGAGCTAAGGATACATCTGGGCCCGGGCTGCTGCCTAGGGCCATGTATCAGTCTGTTGCCAAGCAGTAGTCAGGATGTGGGGTGGTATCTGTGGCTCTAATTACCACAAGGGGTCATAGGAACCCTGTGTGTTGAAATCCAGTAGCTGTACTGAACTGGCCTTGCTGCTTTCTGAAAACTGTAGTAGGAAAGCTGGCTCTACCCTCAGGGGAGAGCTGGCGTTACCCTCTGAAAAATGGCCCTTCACCATTAGAACTGACCTTCTTGAAAGAGGTGCAGGTGAGCCTGCCCTGATAGCATAAGTGCAGGAGACCTGACCTCCCCTCCCCTCATCTGCCCTGTGGTGGCATGGGTAATAGAAAGATGCCCTCCCATCACCCATTATCATCTGTGATAATGAGCACTTGACCCTGGGGGTCAAGACAGTGAGAGGACTAGCCCTGCCCCTCACCAGCTGCATCACACAGGAGAACGGGTCCTGTACCCTGCCTGGGCAACACATTAGAGCTAACCCTGTTGTCAGGGTCTCAGGTGACATGGGCCTGAAGGCACTAGAGCAGGAGACTTGACCTCCCCCCCCCCATGTCCCCAATGCTATTTGGGAGAGGGAGCCCTCTACCTCACCTAGGCAAAACAGTAGAGCTGGCCATGGTGGTGTAAGTCTGGGTGAGATGGATCCTGGGACCCGAGACAAAGATCCTCACTCCTTGCTGCAGGCTGCATTGGGAGAACTAGCCAAGGCAGAGCTGGAGAACATCCCCTGATAGTGATGAAGAGGCAAAGCTGGTGGGCTGACAAACCCAGCTACCACCCAAGCCGGAACAAGGACTATGAATTAACCCACCCCAACATCTACCTCATCTATTAAATATTAGGGCATATGAAGAAGACAGACCTACAGATCCAAAACTGCAGACCTACACGACTGTACAAGACAAGGAAAAGATATCCAAGAAGAGCCCACATAAGAGACCATTATCGATAGTGAAGCAGAAGCCAGAGGCCTCAAACGAAACCAATGACTCAGCAATGAACACGTAACAAGACGAATAGACTAAAGGGTAAACGGGGTGACTCATCTGGCTACACTATAGCTTCCATGATGACATTTTTGTTTTTGTTTGGTTTGGTTAGTTGGTTTGGATTTTTTTCTTTTAAATTTTGTTTTATTTCAGGTAGAAACTGCAAGGGCAGAGGGCAGATTCGAGGCAACAGGGAGATAAGATGTGAAATCACAGAGAATCAATAAAAGTTAAAAGAATTAAATAAAAATGTATTTTTCCTGTCTAATAGAAAATAAAGAGAATTATTAGAAACATGCGCCAATGCATTTAACAAACCTGTAGCAAATCCAGCACATGACTGCCATAGAGGTGCAGAATTGTTTCAGATTGGGCACAAATAATGACAAAGCCTTGAAAATACTGAAACTGTGACTGCGGCCTGACCTCAGTGCCATTGAAGCTTTCCAGACACAGCTAGGAGAAGCATTTATCATATTTCTTGAAACAAGGAAGACCATTTGATGGGATTTAAATTTTTTTCAGGGTTTTTCCCAAAACTACATGTGACTTCAAAATTTATAGTTGTTTTCCTGCATTTTCCATTCTCAAATTTATTTAAAATTTAGCATATGAAACTACAAAATACCTACATTAAATACAGTCACACTTTGACAACATATTTTATTCCATGAATCTTTCTGCAGCTGTGAAAATGGGTTTGACTTGTATGTGATACACAGGCAATGATAGGAGCTTTTTCAAGGATCTGGCAGCCTCTTGTGGAAAATATGAAAATGAGAGAAAGTATATTGATGTAATCATTGAAGAAAGTCTATTAGAAGAAGGAAATAGCTAAACCTATACAATAGTTAAATTCTATGTGTCTGCACTAGCATTGACATAGTAGAACTTTGGCATTGCTACCTAAAATCTCACAAAGACGATAAACAGCTGATTGTATTTAGCACTCATCTCTTTCTCTCACTAGCACTTTTTCTATTTTTCTCTTATTAAAAATAGGATTCTTCTTCATACAAAATATTCTAATTATGGTTTTCTATTCCTCAAACTCCTTGAAGATCATCCCCGCCTCCAGTCCCATTTGAATCCACACCATTTCTGCCTGGCATTTACAGAATAATGATAAAATAAAAATAAGATAAAAACAAACAACAACAAACACCAAAGAAGCACATATAGATGTAGAGACACACACATTCATACACACATAAATCCCATAAAAAAAAACAAAGCCAGGATCCATGTTATATATGTAAAGGACCTATAAGGTTAAATTTTTTAAAAAGCTCTGGACAAAATATTATATGACAAAGAACCAATCCATAAAGCTTCCATTGAATTTGTTTTGTGTTGGCTATCTGCTGGGCATGGAGATAGCCCTTAAGAGTGGTTTATATCACCAGTGAGACTTGACTTCAACCTTCCTGTTGACCCTATAATAACATCAAGTTATAGTGACAAAGCAATGCAAAATGTTACAGACTAGCAAACCTATGTTACTTACATATTCAGTGTTAATTGTGATATGAATCACACTTCAAGTGGCCTCTGACAGCAGAATCTTCCCTCTGTGTGATGAACCACAAAGTGTCTTTGGGTCCCTACATAACATGGCCAAATCCAGTTGAATGCCTGAAAATCCTCAAGAATGTGAACTTGTGTCTTTTCCCAGGCACATTTTGTTGCTATTGTTAAATAACCATAAATTTTGAAAAACACCACACAGATTTGCTTAACAGGTGCTTTTCAAGTGTATGACTGTTGCTTTCTCTGGGAACTCTGGTTCCACATCTTTACAATAAGCTCATGAATTGGCTGGTTGTTCTTATTTCCCTGTTTGCCCTCTGAATCTATCTTTTCTATCTGAAAGGAAGTGGGTGAAAACCACATTTCTGTCATGTCATTAAAATTACAATTTTCAACTTGCAAAATTTTCTTTAACCATTCATCTGCTGAGAACTTTTAGGTTGTTTCTATTTCCAGCTAT